GGGCACCCCCTCCCCATCCCCACTCCACRGGCAAAATCTCCCACCCTGTCCTCACTTTGTCCTTAGTGGCTAGGTGGGTTTGGCATGGGGGTACCCCTCTCAACATGAAATCCCCAAATTCCCCCTGCCTATACGCAATTGCCTAAAACTGCATCAAATTTCAAATATATTTTAGAAATAAAATTGGGGGAATTCAAAGGTATTTTAGAAATGTGATTATTGAATCCTACGTTATTTTAGGAATTTGAGGAAAAATAATGGTATTTTAAAAATTAATGTTAAACCTAAAATTATTTTAATAATTATGACTCCAGTTTAAGAAATTATATACAAACTCTATCCCTACCTCGTCTCTAAGTCGAGGCCAAAAATATTTTCAATCTTTTGTTGTCCCCACCCGTCCTTGTTTAAGAACGAATTCACATCTCCGCCCCACAACATATCCTCGTCGTGTATTAGGAACATCTCCCGATAATAGTACCAGCCCTGATGATGTCATCATCAGGAGATGTTCCCAATACACGACAAAGATGTGTTGTGGGGCGGAGATGTGATCTCTTTAAGAATAGAAAAAGCCACGAGACCAGATCTCCTGCACCTCACACGCATATCCTATGATTTATTGGAAATATCTCCCGTGAATAATATTTTTTTTATATTATTCACAGGATATATTCCCAATGCACGGTGGATGTGCATGTGAGACACATCTCCCGATAATAATACCAGCCTTGATGATATCATCATCGGGAGATGTTCCCAATACACGACAAGGATGTGCTGTGGGGCGGAAATGTAATCTCTTTAAGAATGGAAAAAGCCATGAGACCGGATCTCCTGCGCCTCACACGCACATCCTATGATTTATTGGGAATATCTCCCGTGAATAATACTTATTTGATATTATTCACGGGATATAATACCAATGCACGGTGGATGTGCATGTGAGGCGCCCATTTGTGAGGAGCAGATCCCGTCACAAAAGCCACTCCATTAGCGGGGTGAGGGGGCCCTGACTTTACAGGAAAATTTGTCATTCCTTATTTTACACCAATATTTAAATATATTTTTGAAGAAGTCAACATTTTACAAAACCAATCATTTCCAAAACAATTTCTCTACCGGGTTGTGGTGCGGACTATCCGACGGCCGGTCCAAGTCAGAAGACCCCTAAAAAAAGGACAAGGGTCCTACCAAGTTAGCATCATGTAGAAGTCGGAATGATGCCCCAACGCCAGGTCAGCTTCTAATCCTCTTTCCTTTTGTAAAAAGCATTAAGCAAAATTTCTTTCTCTCTCCCCCTCAAATCTCACTCTCTCTCTCTCTCTAAATCATTTGTGCTGGATTATTTTCTGACGGGAAGGTGGTACGATCGACCATATGCACCAAAATATATACAATGCCTGCTTCCACCTTACCTTTACTTCTCCCGCACGGCCTACTCACCAAACCTTGACATGTTTCCTATACCCCTACTCCCCTATATAAAAATAAAAATAAGTGCTCCATATTTATTAATAAACAAAAAAAAAAAATCCCTCTACCTTCTTTTCCACCAGATCCTCGTCCCTTTCACTCTGCATCCCCCCTTCTTCCATTTCTACCTGCGCTTCCCACTCCTCTCCTTGCAGAGAATCAGCACCCGTCTCTGCTCTTGAACAGTGTATGATTGGTTCTGGATCCTATGCTATGCACACAACTATTTTTAATTAATCAAATACAAACATGTAGAGTGCTATTGTTTTCTATGTATTTGCACTCTACTGTTCTAAACTGAACCAGAAGGACAATAAGACATGCAAAAAGATGCTTAATTAGGTTGTGTTTGGGTTAATAATCATATAATACACAAACCCAACTCCAAATCATGCATATATAAATAGTAATAATAAACAATACTGCATATTGGGTTGGTAAGGTTTTCATCCAAATGACATGGCGGGTGGTGATTGGCCGAACCTATGWAACTTGGAATTGAATTCATGTATGTGCTGTGCTGTGGTTTTCAGTTTGACATGAACAAAAGCTCTATATTTGTAATGAACAGTTGGTGCTAGTCCTGGGAGGAGGCTAGAGCTAGTCAGTCTCCCTCAATTTTCAATTTGATATAAACACACATGCACCAAAAGGACAATAAAGATGCCTTTAGATGATGTCTGGGTTATTATGTTCTTTCTTCTTCCCAGGCCTAAGGATGTGGTGAGTGGTGTTGGTTGATGCCTTCATCAGTTTCAGTTTCAGTTCCAGCCACCTACTCTTCCTGTTCAATCAGTTCAAGTGAAAAACATATTCGTCAATATGGGTAGGTACTCACCACCAGACTTGTGCATTTCAGCGTCTATTTATGCGCTTCTGTTCTAGTCCGGCATGATGGTTCAAATCGGCTTCAAGTTGTTCAAGCTGTGAAAACAGTGCCTGTCGTACTTAGGAAAACTTTTCCCTTTCTCACTCTACCTTGTGTAGAGTGGGGATTTATATCTCTCTCTAGTCTCTACTCTCTAGGCTGCTGCTGCTGCATTAAATTGATAAAATTCAGTCCATTCATATTCTGCAAAAATATGGACCAGATCGCAGCAGGATCTTTTAGTAAAATTTCAGTGCGAATATTGAGCTTTGCTTTCTTTCTTTTTTTTTATATATATTTTTCTTTTGAAAAAACACAAACAAAGTCAATGCAACTATGTAAATGAACATTGTCCACTTGTCTGTCTCATCCAATACACACCTTTTCACTGAATTATCTCCCTGAGTGCTGCATTAAGCCCTCAAGGGCCTCAATCCTCAAGCCCAGTCCTTAATAGTTGCATTGACCTTATTCCCCATGCCATAACATGAAATATCTCTCTCATATGCAAACATAAAAGATTCTAGCGGCCCCGTGATAGGGGTCTGGAAATGGAATCAAAATAGCTTATTCCTATTTGGTTGGGCAGAATTAAAATCCTATTCTTATTTTTACTGGAATGACATTCCCCCATTTGAGGGAATGACTATTTCTGAAAATGAAATCTCATTTCTACTCACTTTTATTTTTATTTTTATTTATCTGAACCAAACAGACTATGAGATTGAATCATTCCGATTCCAATTCTAAAGGATTTGGATTCTGATTTTGACTGTAAACCAAATAAACTTCTAATTATTTTATATTTTTTTACACTTGATCGTCAGTCAGTTTTCTTTTCTTTTTCTGTTTTTTTGGTGGGGTTCATTGGTTCATCCTAATGTTATGTATTCTTGGTGGAGGCAGCCAAGAAATAGAGTTACTGCATGCATGTATGCATGTAAAGAAAAAAAAGAACTGGGTCATGGCAAGCACAAGCAAGGGTACATCAAAATAAAAAAAAAAAAAAAAAAGCAGGTATACATGGTGTGGGCCCATGAAAAAAGGCACTAAAAGACAAAGTTGGATATATCCTTTCATGGGTCCCACGTTTGTAGGGCGAAGAAAACCACGATAGCAATATAACAATAACATAAATAACCTCATTTATTTACTCTACCAGAATTTAATTTCTCTCCCAAGTCCCAACCAAAGAACGAACCTAAGAGCAAGAAAACCAGTTTTGAGTTACGTAAGGAACTGAGCAAGAAAAGCAGGTTTTCCCGCTTTCCCAAATGATCTCATCTCATGCACTTTGCCCTTTACCGGCGTTCAATGATTAAGCAAGCAAACAGAGAATCGTTTCGACATATGCAGGGTTTAATAGATTAGATTAGATAGCGTCATCTATCTATCATTGCAATTATTGCAAGTAGGAAGGATAAATAGCTGTCTGAACAACTCACGATATGTTATGGCCAATCAAACCTAGCCACCGAATTAAACAGAAAAGGATATCAGAAGCGCAGAGATTCGTTTGTAGAATTGACTGATTATTTCACTGCATGCGTGCATGCATCATCTAAATCCAAGCCACAGCCACTAGCTAGCTAGGTTTTAAATTTGACCCATGGATGGAATTGCCCTTTAGCTCTGTTGGCTGTTTTTTTTTTTTTCTTCTTTGGGTTTTGTGGGTTTTATGTTTTTGTTTTCCATACATGTATATAGTCAGCTTCATTCTGTATTAATGCCTTTGTTTTGTTATAGCAACCAACATTTTTCATATATGTCTCGTTATGGCTTGGACTATATATGCTCTTGGAAGTTGGAATAATTCCTTTTTATCTTTGTAATCTTCAATATGGCAACCATTTTCGTTTTATTAGGTACAAAATTTTCGTTTTTGGTGGTTTCTTATTTGTTTCCACATGCAACAAGTTTACAATATTAGCTTATTAGCTCCTCTGGTTTATTAGGGCAAATCACTTGCATAGTTGCATATTGTCAGGTACTACAGTTTGACAAGGAGAGAGAGAAGATGGGTTATAGACTATAGAGCAAGAAAATAAAACAAGACAGTAGAGAAGGGACCATGGGTCCCTCAAAATGCCAGGAGACATGAGAGATCCCAAGCGGGGGATCTCCCGAAAGGAATGATTTCTACAGGAGGCAAGGTGGGCAACAAAACCCTATTTGAGAACTTTCACGGTTTTGTTGAGGGGACAAAAGGCAGAAAATAAGGTAATAGGGGGTACAGTGTCAATTGTCAAAGACAGTCACAGGTATACACGGGCATTTGGTACAGAAAACAAGAACTCTCATGCAACTCTCCTTGGAAGCACAAATAGAAGGAGACAAAGGTTTCTTTTGCAAACAAACCGCTTCTTTTCGCAGAGTTGGACGCCTCTCTCTCTCTCTCTCTCTCTCTCTCTCTCTCTCTCTCTCTGTTGATATAATTTTCATTTCTATATTATTCGTCTCTCTCTGCAACATGCTACCTATTGTGCTCCTCTACTATTGCTCTTTTCTATTCATATCAGCCTTTACAGGATTCACTATTAGTGATGAACTGAAAAATATTATACGATCGGTCATGATTATATTATATATAATCAATCAAATTAAAATACAATTAATACCAGATCCAGAAAAGCAAGAGGATGAAAGCAACAGAGATACAGAAACAATAGATGAATGAAATGAAATTCATCAAAATAGAACAAATGGCAGCAGGTGAAGGTGAAGGAAGCATCATCAACATAAGCAAAAAAGATAGATCGAAGCAAGACAAAATATATAACAATAATCCTCTAGAATAATTTATCCATGGAATGTATAGGAATCATACATTTTTCACAAAACAGCTGCTGCCTTTGGATTAAAGAAGAGGATTTGCCTTTTGAATTACAGCTTACAAGAGTTATATATAAATAGAAACGTCAAAGGCCAAAAAGAAAAAGGTACCGAATGATGGAACTCTAAACTAAATGGCCCCCAAAGAAAGGAAAAGAAAATTAGTTCCAGCTCACCCAGGAGGTGATGAGGTATGATGGTGCAAACGACCATATAATATATAGCAGTGGAGATGCTTGTGAGCAAGATGAAGTAATGGTTTGCACTGGAATGGATCGGGATTCTTGCCTGTGGAATAACCAGTAATTCAGAGTTTAGACACCAGAATTCATGCATTCAATTCCTAGCTATCGCACAGCGCAGCGTGAGAGAGAGAGAGGATGGCCTAGTAAATTAGGGTTAGGATTTTAAGAAACTCAGCAAAATGCCCTTAATTTCCTTGTTGGTTTTTAAATGGGTTCACAGTACTCCACTTAATTAGTTGGAAAATATGAGAATAAGCAAGAAAGAATAAGAAAAAACGTTACGGTTGGGGCGCTATTGACTGATATGAGCCTGGGGTGGTGTTCTAGCTAGCTAGTTCCAGGAAGAGACAGAGAAGAGGGGTTGATTCTGCCAACCTAGAAACAAGGAATCGTTAAGTATCTGAAGCTGATAACCTTCAGAAGGATAATGGAGTCTCAGTAGGAGTTTGGCCTGAGACAAGGCGAAAGGGCTCAAGGGAACGTTGGAAAAACCTGAGCTTCTCAACATCTCCACCCAAGTCTCAAACCTCTCGTGTCGCTGTCTCCGGTCGTCTCCGTCGGCTGACACTATGTCAAGGATCTCCTTCCCAAACCAAACCTGCTCAACGGCCAGCCTTTCCCGGCTGTTGGGCGGCAGCGTCGCTTCAAGGGAATCAAACAGCGCAGTGTAGTGGTCCAGTGCATCCACGAACCTCTGCAGGAAGAAGGGATGGTTATGGTTAGCTTCTCTTTCTGCCACAGTTACCACCTTAGGGTTCATGGCCTTGATCGTGCGGAGGAAGAGCCGGGCGTCTCGGGAGTCGTCCCTGAGGAGCCTGTGCAAGAAGAGTACACAATTGACTGCGAGGATCTCGTCAGGGAGGAGTACAATGGCAGGAGGGAGGTGGAGAGCGATGGAGGAAGGATCGTTTAGGAGGAGTGGGTTGAATTGGAATTTAAGGCCCAGAGAGTGAGCGAATCTCTGAAGGCGGTCGCCGGTCCTCCGAAGGGCGTCCAAGTCCTGGCCTGTTCCGGTGATTCGGATCGTCGGTGGAGGGTTTGATGGGTCTGAGCGCTCGGCGATTGCCTGCATCAGTGGAGGCCATTGCACCCCTTGCATGATATCGAAGTCGAGGATGTGGACGGATTGATGGCCTTCAATGGCTTCTAAGATGGCCTGATTGGCTGTGAGGTGGCTGAACCTTATGAATGGTGTGATTTGGTTAAGGGAGAGATACGAGGACTGAAGAGCCTCGGAGTCGGCTGCTGCACCACCACCACCACTACAGCTTCCACCGCATATGATGGGACGAGTAATAGTAGTATTATCAGCAACAGAAAGGGGGGTCATGGCACTGGCACCTGCAGTGACTGTGGCCGTGGCCGTTGCCGTGGCCGTGGCTGCCGACGAGACGAAGCTGTGTAAAGTGTGGCGGTTGAGGCGGTACGAGAGGGCCCTCGTGAATTGGTGCACTAATCTGTCAGTTGAGTCGCCGTAAGGGGAAGAGTTGGTGGAGAGGAAGGAGAGGAGACGGTGAGCTGAGGGAGAATTAGATTGACTGACGAGCTCAGCGCAGTTGATCAGTAATTGGCGCATATGAGTTGCTGCAGAAGTGAAGCGCCGTGATGCAAGCGGATTCTGGTTGTGGTAGTGGTGATCTGATGGGTCTTCTTCCTCTTCATGGGAAGTACTGAATGAGCTGAGCATCTCACTCTGTTGTTGCTCTAGTTGTTGTTGCTGGAGTACTGATAGTAGTAGTAGTAGTGTAGTAGGAGAAGAATGAAATATGAACACAAGTGGGCTGGTGATGAGAGAGGTGCGGTTGAGAAACCCAAGAGAGACAGAGTGGTGGAGGATGAGGAGGATGAAGAGGAAAGGCTTTTGCACTGATGAGTCTGAGTGGTGAAAAGGGAAGAAGACGAAGAGAGGAGATTGGGAAGTTTGCATTCCTTTGCTTTAATAGGACATCTGAGAATGCAGTTTCCTTGACAGGACATCATCTGCCAAAACAGGGAGGAAGTGATACTTAGTAGTAGCAGTAGGGGAAGGGGGTATGTATGGATGCAACACGATTCACATCTCTCTCTCTCCCTCCCTCTCTGATGACAGAGTTCCTGAAATGTTTCATACCTTTTTCTGTCTTTTTCTTTTCTTTTCGGAATTTGGATCTTGGTGCCTCTGCATTGGAATCCTGATCGATCTCTTATGTTAGGAATTAGGATATATAATAGAAAAGGCAAGAAAAGCTTAAAAACCATCTAAACTTGTTCTAGGGTTAAGGATTATTTATCTATATATTGAGATATTGGACTATGGAATGGAGGCCCCCATTAAACTGCTTGCATGTGCACGTGGGGAAAGAGAATACAATTTCATGGAATGGAAGCTAGTAGTCATTAAAAGACACAATGCCCCCGTAATATTTCCTTCATTCCACAATCTAAACTCCCAAAGATCCGATTCTTTCTGTTTCTCCAGTTCTCTCTTGCTAATAATAATGACCATAATGATTATCAATCCACTGAGGAGATGGGGTTATTTCATGAGGAGAGAGAGAAGTGAGAATGGCATAAAGCATATATTAATAAATGCTGTATGTCATCTACAAGACTAACAACGTGGGTTTGGAGGATTTTTTTTTTTTTTTTTTACAGTTTCTCTCTCTCACACCGGCCCACACTCCACACTCCACAAATTAAGCCCGCTCACACGCAAGCCTTTAAATGTTGAACAGGGACTACACAACTCTACTCCCTTTCCTAAGTCCTAACAAACAATTATATCCACCTACACATTTCCTCTGTTTGTCTCCTTGTGGGACTTTCATTAATTGTCTTTCAGATGACTTCCTTGCAGGAGGCCTTCTCTTCGCTTGCTTCCAGTACAGAAAGAGACTGTTAGAAGTAAGAACAACAAGCAATCCTAACTTCTGTATCTGTTGTCTATTTGTGCGTCCCAGCGCGTGTGCGTGTGTATGTGTACATGCTACTTTTATTATTATTATTATTATCATCTCTCTATCTCTATCTCTCTGCAAATAAATAACAGACCAGGAGAAAAAAAAAAAAAAAAAACCAACCAAACAAGAGCCAAGTAGCTCTAGCCACCAGGACACAGAGACCCATCTTGATTCCTCTCTCTTCTCGTTCCCTCACATCAATGCAAATAAATTAAAAGCATCTTTGTACACTACAGCCCCATTAGCGAACAAATAGAATATTGCAGGCCAAGGAGAACCCCATTTGCGAGATGATGGAATATTTCAGACCCCATTTGGGGAAATCAGAATGAGATCAATCAGATATCAAAGATCCCTTGCCTGCCTGCACAAGAGATGGGATTTCTTTCTCTCTTTTCCTTTTTCTTTTCTAATTTCTAAAGTTAATACACACAAACACAATGATTAAATGATAAATCTCTCTTCCTGTATATACTTCATTAATTCAATAAATGGTCTAAAAAGTTTTGACAATTTCTTATTTTTCTAGCCTTCTAGGGATCTGGGTTATGGGACTGCTTTAATCGAGGCTCTTCCTTTTTAGCTTTTCTTTCCTTTTATTTAATATCCATGCTGCTAAAAGATAGTGCGAGAGATCCTAGTAACGTGTGGTAATCAAAAACATCTCACAAACTGCAAAGGAATCCCTTCCTCCTTCAATCTTTTTCTGTACAGTATCGGAAAAATTTCCGCACGGTATCGGAAAAAAGAGAAAAGAAGTTAATGGAATCGAGAAGCACCAAACAAAGGACGAGAAAGAGAGCTAGTGAGATGAGGGAAAAAGGAAAAAGGTAAAGCTGGTTCCTTTTGTAATTTTACCCCCCCCCCCTCGCATTAAATCCGTGATTTGACATGCTCAAAGTCCACCCTTTTCGTGGGAATCTTCTGCCATATGTTGGGTTTATCTTTCAAATCCTCAACCCTAAAAATCTTTTTCTCACCCATCCCCTCTCACATCACACGCACGCACACTCTATTCATTTTTTTTCTTGCTTTGTTTCACTTTCAGAGTTGCAGGGTCTCCATTTCAGTTTAGCTTATCAATCCATTTGTCCAACCATAAAATAAAAACTGGGTTGAGTTGAGAATTTGAGATACAAAGTTACAGACAACATCATCTAATAGGTTATGAACCAAAAAAAACAGCAAAAAATACTGGTATAGATGCAAAAATATTACTAATGATGGCTCTTAATCGTCGATTTCGTCTCTGTTCTGCTCTCCAGAATGATCAAGATCACCTGTTCAGCATCAGATCTGATACGTGACTGATAATACTACTGATGATGGCTAAACGAATAGCCGTGATGATGGCACAGCACTCAAATACTACAGCTGAAGCCAGATCAAAGAGAATGCATGAAATAAAAATAATAATATAATAATCGAAGCTAATGGCAGAGAAGAATATGAGGGGTTGGACTATTGGAGGAGTAAAGATGTCAGCAGTTTCGGGTTGGGTTTCCTTCTTTCTGTTTTCCTTCCATGAATGATGAAACCCATTAATTACATGCTCGATCATCAGGTGATGGATGATACAGCCACTCAAACCAGTTCCCAACTCCTCACAAAAGAAAAGAGTGTGATTTGCTACCAATTAACCATCCGCTGATAGATAATTAATTATCTTGCATGTTTAAGCCAAACCCAATCAATGGAACCATGCATCGATCTGTCTCAAGCTCATTTGATACCACTCCCTCGTACCATCCATCCAATCATATGGATTCTCGACAGAAAACTTCACAGTAGGGTTTGAGGTTTGCAGATATCACGAATGGAAACTGCAGGAGGGATTCAACGGAGATGCCTCGGGATCACAGGAAGACCACCGACGATAATAATATGCCACTTTTTTAGGACAAGATTAATTAACAGAGGAGAACAAATTTGGATCCATCGGTTGTTTGATATCGATGGACTGATGATTCTCTTGCAGCGGGGAAACAAAAAATGATGCTTCACCAGAGTTTGTGAAAATAGAAAAAAAAAAAAGACTAGAAATGCCACTTTTTACTAGCCGAGTTAATAAAAAGTATGGATACCTATGTATTTAATTACATATGTTCAGATAATATAAAAATATTTTAAAAACTTTGAAGGGTGTCTTCTATAAATTTGTTCCAAAGTTTCGAAGGAAGCCAAAGGCTTTAAAGGTTTAGAGGAGATAAACCTAGGCCGAGGAGTGGGGGCCGAGGTGAATCGTTCCTTCGGAAATTGTAGAAGCTGAGGGCTAGTACTGAGAAGGGTGTCTGAAGAAGGACAAGATGTGGTTCTCGCAATAGTGAATCTGCAAGAGAAAGGGTGTTAGAGGCCTTGGGTGATAACCCGAGGCGAGGACTCCGACAATCAAGTTAGTAAGTGCACAAAGGTAAGCAATGAGTCTAGAGACGAGGGGTCCAGACGAGGTCTCAGATAGCGCTAGGTCCTTAAAGGAGAGAGCACTAGAGATAACAAAGGTTTCAAATCCCCTATCTTGTGGGGGGTGCCTTGTATTTATAGTCGGAGCTGCCAGGGGGTAGATGCGAGCCATACGAGGGCCTGGCAGATGCTCTGCTAGAATCACGCGGCGTCCTGTGATTGGGTACGCCTGGTCCACGTTAGGTAACCTTGAGCATGCTCATGGTGAGCCTATGCTAGCGCCCCCTATTCAACACGTGTCTGCCTTGTACAGGCCAGTCGAATGCGCCTACATAACTTGCCCCCCACTCCCGAGGCCGAGGTGGGGGGTCAAAAGGGGCCTCGACTTCGGCCAAACAGAGTGTCGATATTGGTAGGTGCCATTGGGCTTGTTTAGCAGAGTGTACCCTACAATGGTGTCACCTTCGTCTCGCTTCTGCTTCGGCTTGATTTCAATTCGTGGAAGAGAGGTGAAGTTGTGGATGCCTCGGCTTCTGCTAGGGAGCCCAAGGTGATGGGGGYCGGGCTAAGTCGAGCCTTGCCTTGTAATCACACGGTGATGGTCTGGGGCCATGCGCGATACAGGATTCACGAGCTGCCACGTCGGGGTCGTGTCCGGTATGGGTCTAGCGCAAGGAGAGTCTTCCGTAGGGGGATGGGCGCGCTCTAGGCGAACCGGTCTACGCATCCATCGGGTCTGTGCACTCAGACCGTTGGTTGCAGCGAATGGGCCCATCGGTTCACTCAACGTCATTTCGCCTTCCCGAGGCTGGGCACCGGTTCACTAGGAGTCATTTCGTTTCCCCAAGGCTGGGTACCAAGTGTCACACTGCGGATGGTCAGCGAAGRCAAAGGCCTCACGACCATTCGATCCAGCGGGATCTGAGTCGTTCATTCTTCTACAAATAGGGGCCTTAGTGGCGATTTTTCTTGGTCATTTGTCTCTGGGCGCCCTTGCTATCAAGTGAACTCTGCTCTCAGACACACCTTGTCTTCCTCCTTTTCCTCTCCATCTCAATGTAATTCTTCAAACCATGTCTTTCTTTGATTCTGCCCTTGAGTGCTATGAACTTCCGAATGGTTTGGAAGGGAGCTCTCCACGGACTCTTTCCCCCCTTTCTCCCTTAGGTCCACTAGCCGTCGTCCCCCTTCAGTGAGAAGTGATAGTGCTGAGGGAGAGGGTAGCCTCCGGGGGTGCCGAGGGTAGCCGCTGAGGCGACGACCCTCCCTGTGAGAGCACCGCATCTGTGATGCCAAGGGGGAGCGGATCCCGGAGCCCATTCTAGGGACGGTGGTTGAAAGCACTCTAGACATGGACCAAGTGAAAGCCCTAGCTAGGAGGTTTCACATACCTCGGTCCTACCAGCTTAGGGTTCCTGACCTCGGCGACCGGTCGTGGACCCCTGAAGAGAGGGAAATTTGTATATACCAGCACTGTTTAGAGTTTGGCCTTAGGTTCCCTCTTCATCCTTTAATCTTTGAGCTGCTGGAGTGGTATGGCATCACGATCAGTCAGCTCGTCCCCAATTCCATTAGGACCCTCGTAGCTATGCTGGTGTGGGCTCGGCTTCGAGATGTAGAGTTAACCCCGAAGATATTCCGTGTCATGTACCGAGGAATCACTCTTCCGAGGCCAGCATGCACTATCTTCAGCCACAGAGGGGGAGACCTGTCGATAACCCCACGTCAATCAACAACTGGAAGGGAAAATTCCTTTTCATC